TAAGGGATGTGATCTATGATTGTAATATGCTTGGATGTAATCAAAGTTATTTATTTATTTAATGATTGATTATTATACAAAATTTTATTCTGTACATATGAGCAACAAATTTTTTTTTTGTTTCGTTCTACAGTAGATAAAAAGAATTAATTTAAGCAACTTATGGTCCATCTAACATAAAGGCTTAAGTTGAGTTACTTACTATTAACTTAAAATGACTGTTTTTTAAACTTCTAAGGTAATGTGTCATTTTCCTGGCATTTAAGATTTGGTGAATTTTTATTTTATTTTTTTTCTCTAGCAAATGTCAATAAACTACAGTGCTGTCTATAAAATATTAATAAAGAAGTATACAAAAAAAGTTTAGAATATTTTGAAGACTTTAAATTTGAAGAAATTTTTTGGTCCGAATTGTCATGTTTCGTGAGAATCACCCATATGCAGTGAAACCTCCTGTTATGGACACTCCTGCAAAACGGACACCTCTGAATGTGAACATATTTTTAATTCCCCAGGAATCTTCTATAAATAAACCATTATGTACATTCTCCGCAAAGCAGACACTTCCGCAACCCGACGTGGACAGTCATTTTTGCCCTGAAACATTATTTTCTATCTCTTCAAACCAATCACCACTTTTTATAAGTTTGGAAAAAAAAAAAAAACTATTTCTGCTCAGAATTGCAGGAAGAAAAAAATGCAACTTTTCACCATTTTTAAAGAATGTAAATTTTTTACCCATAACTAAAAATATTGTTAAGCTACTTCAGTACTAAAGAATCAATCTTTCTTCTGTCACCTTACCTTATTTTTGTAAAGAAAGGAGGAAAAATGATACTGCTCTTGTGAAATAATTCGGACAGCAGCATCTTTTGATCTTTTCATCTGGACGACTCAGGTTATAAATAAGAACCTCAAGTTGAAATGAAGTCTTAAATGCTCTCAATGCGTCTTCCCCATTGAAAATTTCTTCATTTTTTTAGAAATTTGAAGACTGTATTTAACACAGAAGTATAACAGAGAGAACAGAAGTATAATCTTTGAGGGGTTTATATAAAGGAAACATTTATTCAGACACCCGTTGTGAATAATCAACTACATACGTCCTTGTGGCTTACAGGTATGCATTGCTTTTTTTTTCTTCTTTCTGTGAATAGTGGGAGGTTTACTTTCAAGGAAGTATTGATCAACATGTTCCCTATCAAATGATAGGTAAGTGTTAGGGGATGTAAACCTAATAACTGAAACTGACTTAGGACTAAAAGCTCCTATTCAGTATCATATGTTTAACTTGAGTATCTGCGCTAATAAGAAAAATTATATTCATTTATCTGTAGCTACATCTAGAATTATGTATTTATATCAAACTTTAATATATTCCATTTTATATTTTTAAAGTTTAAATAAATATCCTTGTAGATAGTTACTGTAGATTATTTAATTGTTTCTTTATCTTTGAAAATATTCTAAAAACAATTTATGGTGTTAAACTTCGTTATTAGGGTACCATTCCCGCAAACGGAAATTTTTTTCGGCCCCAAGAGTGTCCACTTAACCGAGGTTTCGCTGTGTATGTATATATATATATGGGTTGCACAAAATAACGGAAACACATTTTGTGATCTAATTTAAACAGCACTTAGAGAATCATTTTCTAAATTCAGAAGTGTTTAGGTTATGTGATGTCTCATAATTATCAATGAAGTTTTAAAGCTTTTAGAGGTTTGACGGATTGACAATAATAAATCACAAACATGAAATAGTGCTTTTGAACACCCTATACCAAACAATGCCCTTCCACTGATGCTATTAAGAAATAAAACATGCAAAAGAAAAGATACTTTTATGGGGGATTATCTCCCAACAATGCCAGTGTCATTTTAAAAATGCTAATACATTTGCTAAATCTTGTTTAAAAGTTCAAAATAATACTATCGGAAAATCCCTTATCATTTTATCCCTTATTATTATCATTTTGAGCTTTCTTTTAAAAAATAAGAAGTTGTTTGAAACTTTTTAAGATATTCAAATCGGACTTTATGAGTCGAAAAATAAAATTCGGTACAAAATTAAGAAAATTTATTTTAAATTTTTATTGCTCAGTATAAAAACTCTTTTAATGACTCGTATCTTGAGCCGTTTTTAACGATTCTTTTCTCAAATTATAAAGAAATTATTTTGGAATCCATTTTAAATGTATCCAAAAGTTTTGTTTCATTTTAATCAATGTTTACAAAGAAACATAAGACAAATTAATTTTTTTCTATAAAAATGTTAATATCCATATAAATATTTAATGTAGATTTCGAAATTTCGTACAGTTATAGCATATAATAACCAAAATAATAGTTATAGGTTAGAAATCTAAATCTCTCCATGAAAAGAAAAAAACTAATTTAAAAAAAATCTTATTATTTTTATTAATTTAATATTCACTGTTTTCGTTTACTGTTACACTTATTTTAATGAATGTGTATTCTTATTGTTTATGTATTCAATTTTTTTAGACGCACTTGGATTGGTAAACAACCCAATTTATTGAACATTTTTTTTGTTTCTGGGGCTCTTTGTTAAATATGGATACGACATAAAATGTTTTGCTTTCAAGTCAGTAAAGTGATCACACCCATTATATAATTTCTCAACTAAAGAATTTAATTGAGGGCCCAATTATAGAAAGGAATAAAAGATAAACTTACAAGCAAGGCCAACAAGAGCACCTTTTAATTTCTTCTTCTGTGGTCCCTCATCATTTGGAACATCTGTAAACATAAGAATTCAGATGAAAGTTTCCTTTTCATTAGGACTCAACCTCATATTCACTATTTTAAATTACCTATTTCTTGCAGTAACAGATTGCATGCAACTTTTTATGGTATAAATAACTTAAGCTATTCAGCTTTTGGTTTAATAGAACAAAATTTAAGGTGTCTTCTTACTGCCATAAAGCCTTCTGCTATAATATAGTGCATTTATAATCACAATTTTTAAGGTTAAAGAAAAAATGGTGATACACATATAGCAATTTAATCTTTTCTCCTTATACAATTGAGAGAGTTTCGATCATATTTTTATAAAAAATTTTAGAATATGGGAACTGTTTCAACTTTGTATTCTTTTTCAGAAAACAAACGAAAAGTGCTCCAAAGAAGAAACTAACATTTTTAAGTACTGCCGATCGTTTATTAAACATTAAATTTGTTTGAAATAAGCTTTATAAAACTTTGGACACAAAACGTGCGTTATATGCAACAGGTTCATTCAATCTAATTTAATTCACTTCAAAAAGCATCCCCCTTAAAAAAAACTCTTAGTCTATTTTATTCACCTTAAGCATATGCACGCATCAAGGAAAATTTAATGTTAGTTTTTCACATTAAATAGTCACAAAACAATCAGTAGTCTTTTCTTTTATGGGTTAGTACATTTACAGCTCACAATGGACTTTTCTTTAGTAATGTGGGGGTGCCGCCAAAAGAAGACAGATCATTTAAAGTTCCACAAAGAACCATTGATTTATATTTGATTTCATCAGGGGTAATTGTGAGCCCAACTCAAGAATCTTGAATAAAATCATTAATGATGTATTTCAAAATATTAACGTCTTTATAAATTTAAATCGTCGATGTTTTCGAAACATGAAATTCTAAATAAATTATATACAGTATAATTTAAATGAATAATTATCTATAAGTTTACTTTTATCTCTAAACAAATTTATTATTCTACCAGAAAAAATATTTACAAATGAAAGAGATGCCAAGTATAAAATCTAGTTCTAATATTTTTTAATAAAATACCCAAGAATTTTTATACATAAATCTGATCCATGATTTCTCGAAATTTCGGGACCTTGGATTTCAGGAAACTTCCGGATCATGGTTAGCGAAAAATCTTGATTTTTTATAGAATATTATCATGTCTGTTTCATAAATAAGACCAACTTTTTAAAATATAATAAAAGATTTTGTTGTCTCGAATGTAGGTTCAACAACAAACTTTAATGGATAAACATGTTCTTCGAGACTCATTTAATTTAGGAAAGCTGTATCGAAAGAGCAAAACCTATACATGCACTTTCTTCTTATCTTTCCATGAAGAAATAAAAGAATATTAACACAATCAAGACTTGTTGACAGTGGTATTACAAACAAGATGGAACAGCAAAACTAGTTAAAGATACAGTCTTGAACTTTAAGCATTACAAACAATAATTTTTAAACAACTTGAAATTGTAATTACGAAATTCTCACTTATGACAACCAGACATATTTTTTTTGGACAAAACTAATAGTGCCATAGAGAATTCCATATTAAAAATAAAAAAAAAAGATGAAGCCCAATTTTTGAAAAATGTTACAGCTAGAACAATTTAAAATATAGCTGGAATGCTTCAGAATATGACTGTAACATGTTTAGAGCTATGTTGGGCTGGTTTTTTAAAGTAATTAGGATGAATTGCATCTCTGTAAATAAAACAAAAAATAAATTAACTTCCATCGTGAAAAAAACAAATTTGAGCAGAAAAATAACTTTGTTTCTGTTCAATAAATTATTTTAACTAAAATCAAGTATCTTATTAGAGTTGCCACTCAAATCTGGAAAAAAAAGTCTCTGTTTTCCCTGCACATATTAAACGCAATATATTAAGAGGGAAACAACAATGACTGTGCTCTTGTGTGAGCCATAGTGGGCTAACTATATTTATTAGTTTTATTTGATATAAAAACAACAGGACATACTTAAATAATGCTATAGTACATTTGAAATATCATGCTTAAATATTCCATAGGATAGGTGACGCTCTGAGTGGTCACCATTTTTTAAAAGTCAAAAATAAGAAACAAAATTCCCTTTATTTTCCCAGTTTGTAAAGAAAAGATCAAATTTCTTGTATTTTCCCTGTTCTACCTGTGGAGTGGCAATCTTGTATTAGTAATTTTTAATAGTATAAATTCAAAAAAAAAAAGAAGTATTTACTATTTCTGTACTTATTAAAAAGTAATTCTACAAAGCTACCATTTTATTTCAAATTGAAACTAAAAACATAAAAAGAACTATCAATAGAAATAGGAAAGAAATAGAGAAGTTTGGTTCGTAAAACTAATTTAATTCATTTCAAAAAGCATCTCCACAAAAACCATCCAAGTTAAGAACATCTTACTTTTTCTAACTATACTATGATGAGGTGGACTAGTGGCTGGCATGGAAAGGGGTGGCGGCATCAGTTCCCGATCTTTGAGGGGCACTTCTGAGGGATGTCGACCGGCTTCTTCTCTGGACTGTAACTCTGTTGGATGGTTTACATTAGACTCCTGCAAGCTAGAGTGTTAGTACAACAAACAGAAAAAAGGTGTTAACACCATCCAAGAAACCGAATCTAATACCTTGCTTACAGATGTTCCCCCTACAACCGACATTCTTCTCACATTTAATAATTAATTAAAAAAATGTTGTTATTATCCCAAGGAAATTCTTAACTTTTCACTTTTTACATGAAATATGTAAAAATTAGCTTTCAAATTCTACATTAATCATGATTTAATGCTGTAGAACAGTATTATGTTGATAGAAAAGTCGGTTGTTTTTATTTCTTCTTACATATACATAAACAGGGTGCTTAGCCAAATCTTTCAACAAAGAATAAGTACCTTTTAAGCACTATATACATTAACAAAATGCAAAATAATTTTCAAAGACTTTACATGATCATAATAAAATAACTAGTTTCTGACAAAGAACTCCTTTTCTTGATTATATTAGACACCATAAAAAGATCGCGATATTTTTCGGTCTGACATCGAGGGTGGAAAATGAAGTCTGAAATGGAGAATATCTTGCAACATGCAGCAGAGTCGCACACGAGAGTGCAATAATCTCATCGAACCCAGCTCAGTCGACACCTGCGCGGTCTCGCAAGTATTTCATTAAACATGTAAAACGATTGGCGCTTTCGCACACTATGGACCGACGATGAGCCGAAATCGATTGCGGTTGAATGAAAATGTTGAACACACGCTTTTGCATAATACGTGGTGAAAATCGAATATAAGCACTTTTAAATGATGCTATGCACCATGTTAAATAAAGCATGTTAACACACTTTTTTTTATTCAGAAAAATTATAATAATAACTCAGTGACTGTAAATGTTAAAAGCTAATTTTTACAGTTTTCATAGGTAGTATTGCGTAGATGGAATATTTGTATTTTGTCAAAGTGGTGAAAGATCTTTAAGTATCTTAATTATGTGACCTAGGATCATATTAACTGTTACTTTATACATAGTTAAACTGTCAATAATAATTTAAAATTAATAGAGAGTTTCAGAGGGTAATAACTTTAAAATAATGGAATAGAAGTAAATTAATTTTTAAAAACAATCAAGATTTAAGTCTAAAGAGACTATTCATGTTTTAATGTGCTAGATAAATTAGAAAAAAAATAAATTACACATTTCAGAAAAAAATAAATGTTTTACAAATTTCTACACTCTGAAAAATTAATATCTGTTTATTATAATGATTTATTTGCAGTCGCTAGAAACATATTGGAATTTTTATCATCCACTTAATATATAAAATTCAATAATTTTAAGTATATTTAAAATTCAACGAAGTAATTGTATTTAAGTCAATGTTTGAAATGCATTTCTATTCAATAGCCATCAACCGAAATATAGAAGACATTTAATTTTTCAGTTTCATAACTGAAGATTAAAATAAACAAGATTATGGTAAAATATAATCTAATGAGAAAAATCTAAAAAGAACTTTTTATGACACCTTTCAACAAAAAAAAAAAAACAAAAAAAAAAAAAAAAAAAAAACCGCTACAGGTTTGTAAATTAAGCAAACTCACAGTCACTTATTGAATCATCAATAACGTACTGTAAGGTTTGCCACATCTAGACGGTGCCACGAGCGAGTTAAAATACAAAACAATTGAAGGGGACTGGCATGGGAAAAAAAAGAGAATGCATAATGAAAATGGTTTAGTAGTCGTGGAGCTGGCGGTCACGATGTGAATTACAATTGTTTCTTTATTTTAATATTATGTTTTTTGTTTGTATTGAGTGGGCATAGATGTGTTATTAATAAAATTGTTTCAGCCACTGAAGCGGTTTGGAGTGAAATAATTTTCATATAATGGAATTTTAGAAAAAGAGCCCGCAAACGTTATTCGTACAAATGCCGAAGGCATTTTGTGGAGGAAGAAAATAGAATTCAAAACTTTTGCACCTTTCGCAAAGTTGCACAACTACCTCAAAATGAAACTACAACTTTTACGACACAAATTTTAAAAGTTAATTGCAGATAAGATATCTAAAGTACAGAGTGCAAAAAAAGAGCCACCCTGAACTAACTTTTGATCAAATGATTGGATCTTCACGTTCTAGGACTCAATCTCAATGGCTCGAGGGGGTGACCTCAAATATGATAATTAATATGTACACATGATATCTTATGTTACGAAATCAGACAAAAAAAAAAAAAAAAACATACTTCTCTAAATAACAATGAAATTTTCTGACTTGGGGGGGGGGGCACAATCTGGGAAATATGGTTCCAACAGTTAAGTCGGGAGAGCGGCCTAAAGTTTAAACCATTTAATGTTAATGTTATTTTTTTGTGTATTTTGTAATATCTCAAGAACTTTTTAAGAAAAATGAAAATTTTTAACGCACAATTAAAACATATTTTGTTTTAAAAGCATTTTATTCAATAATGGACAGAAAAATTTTGAATTGTAAGGTGCACAGTTTTTTGTATCATTTTAAAGAATGTCATTTTACATGGCAAAACACAAAATTGGTGCAAAATAGGTATAATAGTTTCTGAGAAATCAAGTAGCGTATTTTTTTTTGATATTCAATGTCTCAGNAGAGCGGCTCAAAGTTTAAACCATTTAATCTTAATGTTATTTTTTTGTGTATTTTGCAATATCTCAAGAATTTTTTAAGAAAAATGAAAATTTTTAATGCACAATTAAAACATATTTTGTTTTAAAATCATTTTATTCAATAATGGTCAGAAAAATTTTGAATTGTAAGGTGTACAGTTTTTTGTATCGTTTTAAAGAATGTCATTTTACATGGCAAAACACAAAATTGGTGCAAAATAGGTATAATAGTTTCTGAGAAATCAAGTAGCGTAGATTTTTTTGATATTCAATGTCTCAGGAACTAATAGACCGATATGGTTCAAATTTTGTATTTTCCCATGTAAAATGACATTCTTTAAAATTATGCAAAAAAATGCATACCTTTTCGGCCATTGTTGAAAAAAATGATAAAAAATAATATATATTTACTAAAAGTCATTTCTTGCATGGAATTATCTCTTGATAAACGAATTTTATAATTGAGTGCAAAAATTTTTCGCTTTAATAGTTGAGATACAGCGAAATACCCCCAAAAGGAAGATTAACATTACGGGGTCTTGGAGTGCTCATTTGAGCACACTTTGGACTACATTTATCAGTTCGTGGCTTCGCCCTACATTCGAGTTTTCTCGGGATAACCAGGTAAGGGGTTAAGATTGAGTCCCAGAAGGTTAAAATACGATCATTGGATCAAAAGTTATTCAGGATGGTCTTTTTTTGTTTTTTGCCCACTGTACATTTTTATTAATAACAGGTTTTTTTTTAATGTTAAATTGAAATTCTGTAATTAGTTGTTTCAGAATTGGTTACAGTTAAGGTGAAATCTCCTTAAATTGATAATAATTTGGAATCCATAAAGAGAATGTTTTCCATTAAATGATCTTTATTAAGAGGAAGCCATAGAGAGGAAGAAAAATTTAGTCGCAAATTCTTGTTTCTTCATTACTAATTTAAAACACACAAAAAAAGTTTAGGCAAACCTAGAGTAAGTCATGAAATTTCAATTGATGAAAAAAAAAAAAAAAAAAAACTTCAAAATATTAAACTGCTAACAAATTATTGGAAGAGTACTTCACATTTGCATAATCCTAAGCCATGTGTCAGAATTTTTTCAAGCATTCTGCAACATACCTCTCCAATGCTCATATCTTTTTACAAGATGCTTACAAAAATAACAAATATGCACGTTACTAATTTAAATTAACAAAAGCATCAACTTAATAAAAAAAAAAGATCAAATAATAAGATTTTAATTGAATATGTAATATTTCTTTATTCTAATATTTTTTGTGATATTCTCACTTTTTGTAGGGGAATAACACACTAATTATTTCCTTTTTGCATTTTGTAATTCATCATCACATTAAAAAATAAGTTAAAAAAAAATAATGAAATCCTTAGCAGCCACTACCAAATAAAATAAAAAAAAGATTGACGGCGAAATCGAGCGAATCGGACTCTTCGAAAAGGGGTTACTAAATGCGTGTTTACATTTCGAGATTCAGTTGTTGTAATAAATAATACCGTTTTAAAAATTTCTAATTTTAAAAGCTATGTGGAAATCAATAGTAAAAACTGGATAAAAAATAGAACAAAAATTTCGAGGGAAAAGAAAAACAAATTTTTTACTTTATTACTGTTTATTTTTAATTATTCTCAAATGAAAATAGAAAAATCACAAGCATTTTTCTCCCACTCCGATGGGCAAGAAAGGTATCTTTTTAATATAATTTCGAATAAAAGATAAACATCTTTTGAAAATTTATGCAGCTAAATAAAAGCAAAATTTTTTACTTCCCTAAGGAAAAAATCTTTCTGTGATTATGTTGTCACAATTCTATCTCCTAAGTTACCTTCTCATAATTAATTTTCATTTTAAAATTTTCTTTTCGGTATTTGAAACTTCATGGTTTACTCTAGGTTTGTCTGAAGTCACTTTTTCTACTCTAAAATTCAGTAATGAAGGAAAAAGAGAATTTTTTGTGTGCATCCTCTTAGGTTTAGATTAGCTTCTGCAAATGCATATCAATGGAAGCTTTGATATCTTAGAAAATATGTTATCACTTCACTTAAATGGTGAAAATATTTAAAGTCATTAAAAAAAATGCAGGTTGAACGCGAGCAAGAAATCAGAGCTAAAAAGTCCACAGCAAAGATTTCTTGAATTGTTGGAACTGAAGGAACAGAATAAAGAATATCAGATACTTCAAAATTAAAACTTGGAAAACTGCAATTCATCAACAGATAAAACCCAATTAATACAAATTTACTGCTTTGATGCAAATCTAAAGAAACCAAAAGGAAAAAAAAAATTGGAAAACCATTACGAAAAGCAGAAATGTTTAGTAGCCACTGAGCTAATAAATGTTAATAAATGGGATCTGAAATAATTAAATTGATTTGTATAAAAAGTATTAAGCCTAATTTAAAAGGGCTCACCAATTTGGCTGTATCCTGTTAACAGCAGAAACATCTATGCTTCCATAATATCTATGTTTAGCCATTTCAGATTGCATTTGAGAAAGCTGCATATATCGGGATGTTATTGGATAGTTTGTTGGCTCAGTAATGGTCATCACCATTGAAGTTGGAGTTTGTTGAACAGGTTGAGCCAAGTGAGTCTAAAGAGAAATAATAAACTATAACTATAACAATAAACTATAAATTCAGAAGTTTGAAAAACAGTCGGACCTCTCTTTAACGAACTACTATTACAGTAAAAAAAAAATTTCATTTTCAGTACCCCTTCTTTATGCAATTAGGCGGGGACAAAAAACTTCGTTTTTTTGTCCCCGTTTAAACGGGGAAGTTTAACATTAATTTAATATAAAATTATTTAACTCCATTAAACTTTAATCGTATAAGCGGGTTATTCGATTATCCAATATGTAATTAACTGGGGACGACAGTACGAGTAACAATACGTGAGATAAAATTTCAAAAAATAAAATTTTCCTTCACTTTATATTGTAGTTTGATCTATGTTAAGTCTGTTTTTATCCGTCGGAATGTTAAAATTATACTTATGTTATTTTTTTTCCCCTTGCTTTTACAAAAAGCATCACTTATATGGAAAACTAATGTTACCAGGGGCCTGTCTAGGTTTTTCTGAGAGGTACCTATTTCGTGAAAATTTAGACATAATTTGTGAAAATTAAAAAAATCAATAAAAAAATATGGTAAAAATATGGATTTATTGTTTCTAACAGGATACAAAAATAAAATTTTAAGAAAAAATATTTTTGTGAAACTATTGTTTTTCGTAAAGTTGAATTTGTGAAGGTACCGATAAACGGTAGTAAATGTGGCCTTGACAGAACCCTGGTTACAAAAGCACACATTTTGTGCTAAAATTAACGTTTCAAAAAATTAGATGACACTTTACTTTTCACATTCCTCAGGTAACACAAAATATATTATGCCAAGTACATAGTCAATTTTTTGATAACATGTTAGCTTGCTACCTAAGAAGTTACACACTGAGAAATTTTTGCAAATTAATTAAAAGCAGGATGCGTAGCCAAATCTTTCAACAAAAAATAAGTACTTTTTAAGTATTTTTTAAGCACTATCTACACTAAAAAAATGCAAAATAATTTTTAAAGGCTTTACATGATCATGATAAAATAACTAATTTCTGACAAAGAGCTCCTTTCTCGATTATATTAGCCACCATAGAAAGACCGAGAAATTTTTCGGTACGATTTCAGAGGGTGGAAAATGAAGCCTGAAATGGAGAATATCTTGCAAAATGCAGCAGAGGCGCACATAAGACTGCAAGAATCTCCTCGAACCCAGCTCACAGGGTGCGCAGCCAAATCTTTTAATCAAAAATAAGCACTTTTTAAAAACTTTTTAAGCACTTTACAAAAATTTTCAAGCGCTCAAAAAATTCATATTCAATCAATGATATTATTGAAAAACAAAAACTTTTTATAAACAGTTTTAGCGTTAAAAAAACCCAAAAAGAAACGGGCGTAAATCGAAACAATCAGTACTTTCCCACATCACCGAGTGAATTCAACNATTTAGAATTAGATTTTAATAAAGAAAGAGTGGAATTAGCTAAAGTAGCTTAAAAAAATACAAAAGTGAATTACCCCCCTTTTTACTGCAGAATTATATTCCTAAGATACCTTTCTTGTTCATCGGAAAGGAAACAAATACTCCGGATTTTTCGGTTCTCATTTCGGCATAAAAAAAAATTCGCCAATGACTGGCTTGCTTCAGCTAGAATTTTAAATTGATACAATAACAACAAAAATTCTGAAATCACAGAAGTTTAAAAGATAATTTGCTCTAGAAATGTTTTTTTCTTTCATTTTTTGAAAGAACATGATAAAAGCATTTCCTATTTCAATAAAATATGACCGTGAGTGTGGATTTCGCTACAAATTCAGATATTCGGAACACCATGAAATTGGGGCAGAGGAGGCTAAATTTCATTTTACAAATTTAATTATTCGGCGACCCAAGTCAATGACTTTCTATGATTTTTTTAAAAAAAAATATAGTTAAAATCATGAAAAATTTTGTTCAATACCAAAATTCAGGCGAGCAGATACCCTGTTTAATAGATCTTAAATATAAAAGTAAAAGCAGGTATATTTTTGAATTTTAATGTGCTTTGAATCATTAACTACTTAAAAGAATATTTTACCTTGCACTGATACAGGTACAATGGATGCAACTGAGACAGGAGATACAAGTGTAGGTACATTTGCATGCATTAAGCTTGGGATACCAGCTGTCATAGTACCTAACCAGAAGAAAAAAAAGAAACTTAAATTTTGATCAACCATTCACAAGAATAGAATAAAATCATAGTTACGATAATGAGGCTTTTTTTTTAAAAAAAAAAAAGTGAAATTCTGATTTAGTGTAAGCGGAAGGGTAAAAAATAAAACTGGTATAGAAATTAAGATAACATAGTCACTGGACCTGTGACTTCAAGATATTATGAGTCCATACACATTTTTACTATTAAATTAAAAAAAAAAATAATAAAGTTAATTTAAACGAAACATTACGATACAGAGAATATGGGAAATGTACATTTATGATGAAATAAGATATTTCGTGACAAAAACACAAAATTAAGAACAGTTTGTTTTAAGAGGGTCAGAGTCAAATTTTATAGGGACTGAGCCAATGATACTGTCATTTTGAAACCTGTGATATAAAAACGTTACATCTCAGAATTTTATTGCACTCCTTAAAAAAAAAAAAAATCTTTTCTAAAAGAAGAGGGCTTGTTATCTTTATCTAGTTTTTGTACCTTTTCAGAGTTCCAATTTTTTAAACAAGAATAGGTGAATGAACAGACAACTGATTAATGTAATAACAGAAAATTTTTAAGTTAATGACACAAAACACATTTTCAATGAGATGGATGATAGTCAGAATAACAATAACTTGTATTGCCTTCCATGATACTGAGGTGAAGATTTTGTGCATGTACTGCAAAAGAAAAAAAGGTTATCATCCCTTTTACATCATACATCTTGATAATATAAAATTAGCGTTTTTCTTTCTTTCATTAAAAAAAAACTTTTACAGTTACTTTTTATTAAATAATTAAAATTTTTTTCTCCAATATAAAAGTAAAATTAATTAAATTTATTTAATGAATTAATATTTTTAAAAAACTGTATTAACATCAAGTACCATCCACAACAAGGTTAAAAAAATTTATTTGAACAAGATATAGGGAGAGTGTGAACTAATAGTAGGAACAGAACAGCTTAAAACATTTTGTTTGACAGCTAATGGAATAAATAATATTTGGAAAACAAAATTGAAATCTAACCACTAAAATATTAAGAATGAGACATATTTAAAAGAAAGTGATGTTATTTATAAACACCGCTAAGTATAAAGACTTTCTGGGGAAAAAAAAAGAGAAAAATTTGAATTTTAATGCAGTTTACGTAATAATTTTGGGAACAGAATATTCGAACAAGTTTTAAAATCTGAGCTTCAAATTTTTAACTAATATAAATATGAGCACTGAGTTTATTAACATTATTTAATCACATTTTTAGAAGTTTAAGATCTTAAATGACATGATAAAGTGAGAAAATTGCTTAACTTATCAAAAAACAGGGATGGAAAATTAAAAACAATTTAATAAATTTTTTTAAACTACTTCTTTGTCAGTGCAACAGCCCTTTGCAGGTCTTAACTACCTCAACAGCTGATAAATGCCAGCGCCTCCTATCCAAGGCAACTCTCTTCCAGTTTCTAATCTTTAGGGTTTTCAAATCAGTTTCATCATGTCGTTGAACCATGTAGTAGGGGGCAAGAGGAGGCAGGGAAGGGAGGAATGTATTATTTCTCCTTTATGCCGTCAATCAAACTCAAGGGTGTGGCGAAAATGCACTGCATGCATATCAGTGAACAGATGAAAGAGAAAAATATATTTATCTATTTGACATCGATTAATAAAAATAAAATCTTTTTCTTTTGAATAAATTCTGATTCTTTGGAAGTGCGGTATCATTTGCAAGTTTTTCTTGATGTGGAATCACATCTGCTGTAATTAAAAATAGTGCTCTTATCAACAAAATTCGGTTGATCTTGCCTTGTTTCGGGTTTTAATATTTATGCTAGTGCCTTTTATAACTATCGTTTCGATAATTTTCAAATGTTTTTTTATTTAGATTAATAAGTTTCCCGTTTATTTTATCGTTTCCCTCCATATAATTAGGTATGAAATATATTGCGTTATTTAATTATTGGTTTTGTTCATATTAGTTAATTTAGGAATTGTAATTATTTTTAAAAAATAAATATGAAAGCTTTGAATTTTTTAAACTTGTTTCTCTTGTCTAAACTTGCGCTTTTTTTTAAATTCTTTTAAATGTTATTTTCCTAACGTTTTTTTTTTTTTTTTTTTCAAANTTTTTAAATTTTTTTTTCCTAACTTTTTTTTTTTTTTTTTTTTTAAATTTAGGAGAGCCTTTCTTTTTTCTCTTACTTTTACACTTTTTCCTTGTAATTCGGGTTCGATAAAACATAGATTAACGACACTTTTTGGTCGATCCAGAAAACCGGGAAATCCAGACATCCGGAATAGCAATGGTCCCGAACATCCTGGATAATTGGTTCTCTACTGTATATAAGGAAGTAAAATTACCTGGTACAGAAGAAGGAATTTGTATACCAGTAGCAACTACTCCAGTACCCGCAGGCAAAGCTCCAGGTAAAACAGTAGGAGTAACAACCACTTAAAAGAAAATGGACAAAAACAAGACATTATTAAGAAATATGATAATTTTTGCACTTCAAAATTATTTAATGAGAGCTGTTTATGGAGGTTGAAGAAAACTTTTCAACATGACATGTTCTTAATTCAATGCAGGAAAATTGTATTTAACGCACAAAAACATAAGTTTGCTTTCTTTTTTATAGATAAAAAAATTAATATAATCACAATGACTTGAACCAGACCTGCCAAGATAGGAGAAATAAAATAACTTTTATTTTACTAGCAACATTTTATGGGCTACACTTAGAGTTTTGCTACATCATGCATAATCATGTAAGTTCCTTCACTTTATATTGTAATTTGATCTATNATAATAATTATTTCAACACCGGAAATCCGGATTTTTTCCGGAGCACAATCACCCCTGATATAAGCACTTACATTTAGTGTGAAGTAAAAAGTATGTATATAAATCTTAAACTAATTAAGATTCTTGTAATTATCATTGTTTATTAAAATGATCATTTATAATGACTCAAACTGTATTACAACCGTCGTCGAGTAGCCGACCCGATTCTGGGTTTACGACCCATGTCCGACTCTGTATCCTTGTAATTTTGCTCCCAATCTAGAAGATAAGAAAACTCCTGGATTAGAACCCCCAGAGGTATTGATTTGTTACGGGAACACAGGGGATTTTGGCCGGCGAGAATCAAACCCACTATCTCTTCGAGATGGGCTCAATGCCCTACCAACCAGGCTATCTTGGCCTACTCAAACTGTGAACACTCAACATACTGTAGTACCGGCAATAGCACCATAAGTTGAGGAATAAGAGAAGCATTTTTGCCATTAGCAGATATTTTGTCGCCATTTTTTTTAAAAAAAATTCTTCAACATGTAAGGAGAAATTAGAGAATATACAGGAAAACAGAAGATAGTCATAAAATATAGGACTTTTCGTTAAAAAACAGGAGACTTGGCAGGCATGCTTGAATTATTTGAGGCTGTTGCAAATTATTTTTTTTTCAGTGGTAATGAACTAAAGTAGAATTTTTTTAAAAAACAAGTTTTTTTTAAAAATAATTATTAGAATTTAGGATCTGAAGCTTTTTGCCTATATGAACTCACTGCTCGAATTACTTGTGCTTAGTGGGGGGAAAAATTCTCTTTTGAAACTGGAGATAATGTGTAGCAGTTGGAGTTCCTACAATAATGATTTATGCAACAATTCCCAAAAGGTGTTCCGTGAAAGGGTTCCATGGAAGGATTACAGGGATTTTTTTTGTTGAACTAGTAATATTTATATTTATAGCAAACCAATAATTCATAATTCATTTAATATTTGATTGTTTATAATATAAACAATAATTATATAATATAGTCAACAATAATTATATAATATAGTATAATTTAATAATATAGTCTAAATTAGTGTTTCCCAAAGTGTGGTTCCCGTACCCCCAGGGGTACGGGAACAGTTTAGCGGGGGTACGNCAATAATTATATAATATAGTCAACAATAATTATATAATATAGTATAATTTAATAATATTGTCTAAATTAGTGTTTCCCAAAGTGTGGTTTCCGTACCCCCAGGGGTACGGGAACAGTTTAGCGGGGGTACGCGTTCTTATGGGAAATATCTTGCTAAAAACGAAAATTTCAATTTAAAAAAAAAAAAAAAAGCTAGAAAGGAAAATCTACGATTACGTATTTTTCAATTGGCTAGTTTTTGCAGAGTTAACAGTTAATAATTAGTTGTTTCAACAGCCAGTAGTGATTTTTAACTTTAGTGTAATTTTTTTAATAGTATAAAATACATTCATTTTTTTATTAGTGGTACACAGCGTAACAAAAAAATTTAGAAGGAGTACACAAAAGTCAAAAGTTTGGGAAACACTGGTTTACATGATTATGTTATTTGTGTAAATGTAAAATTAATTTTTTTTTCTCTATAACAATACATAGAAAGAAATATGAAATGGTCATAAATAGATATGTAAATATTAGAAAAGATACGTAATTTATAAAAGATTTAAAAAGCATTTCCATCAAGCTTTTCCATTCAAAATTAAATTCAAGAATAAACAATTACGTTTCTCTGATAACTAACTATTCTCAACAAATATTATAAAAGTTCTTTTTTGAAAACTATAATATAGTCTATTTCATTCACGTTGAGCATAAACAAGCATCAAGAAAAATTTAATGTATTTAATTTTTCGCATTAAATAATCTCAAAACAATTAGTAGTATTTTCTTTTATGGGTCAATACATTTACAGCTGATAATGAACTTTTCCTTAGTAATGTGGGGGTGCCGCCAAAAGAACACGGTGAGTAGTCAAATCTTTCAACAAAAAATAAGCACCTTTGAAGTACTTTATAAGCACTCAAAAAATATTTTTAAGCACTATGTACATTAACAAAATGCAAAATAATTCTCAAAGAATGTACATGATCATGATAAAATAACAAGTTTCTGACAAATAACTCTTTTCTTGATTATATTAGCCGTTATAAAATGATCGAGAGAATTTTTGGTTCGATATCGGAGGGTGGAAATTAAGTTTGAAATTGAGAATATCTTGGAAAATGCAGTAGAGTAGCACACGAGAGTGCAATAATCTCATCGAACTCAGTTAAGTGAACGCCCATGCGGACTCGCAAGTATTTCATCAAACATGTAAAATGATGGGCACTGTCAAACACTATGGACCGATGGTGAGCCGAAATCGATTGTGGACGAATGAATTGTGAAAAGCTCGCTTTTGCATAATACATGGCGAAAATCAACATGGGAAAGAAAAAGATATTTTCAAAACTGGAAAATTAAGTCCTTTTTAAACACACCCAATGACAAAAGCACCTTTAAGTGCTTTTAAAAAACCAAAATCAAAAATAAGCACTTTTTAAAAATGCTAGATTCCATGTTTAAAGTTCCACAAAGAACCACTTATTTATTTGATTTCATAAAACACTAACGTTTTAATATTATAATAAAAGATTTTGTTGTCTCGAATGTAGGTTCAACAACAAACTTTAATGGATAAACATGTTCTTCGAGACTCATTTAATTTAGGAAAGCTGTATCGAAAGTGCAAAACCTATACATGCACTTTCTTCTTATCTTTCCATGAAGAAATAAAAAACTTATAAAAAATTATTAATGCAATCAAGGCTTGTTGACAGTGGTATTATGAACAAGATGGAACAGCAAACTAGATAAAAAAAAAAAAAGCCCTGAACTTTAAGCATTAAAAATAATAATTTTTAAACAACTTGGAATTTTAATTACGACGTAATCTCTTACCTTTGACAAACAGACACATTTATTTGGGACAAATCTAACAGTTTCATAGAAAATTCCATATTAAGAAAAAAAAAAAAAAAATTGAGCCCAATTTTTGAAAATTGTTACAGCTAGAACAGTGGTTACCAACTATCGGCCCATGGGCTGGGTGCAGCCATCGAACTAAAATATATTAGTTGTCATTTTTTGTGGACAATTTTTGTAAAAAATCTATATGGGTTTTAAATACTTTTAAGTTTTATATCTTGACAGTTTGATGTCTGTTGCACATTAATTGTTTAATACATAGGTGCACATTAAAGTTATTGTAGCCAGAATTTTTTAATATGCTATAAAATATTTTTAAAAATCTACTTCTTATTTTAATTTGTAATTCAATACTTTTGTTTTGTACAACTTGATAAAAATCTGACAGTAATATTTAATTTCCCTTCAAACATTAAAAGTGTAAAATTTTGGTTAAGTTGCGGCCCACTATTTGACTGGTGTTTTTTAACTGTGGCTCCCGGCCACGTGTGTTGGAAACCACTGACTTACAACAATTTAAAATATAGTTGGAATGTTTTAAAATATGACTGTAACACAATTAGAGTGATGTTGGGCTGGTTTTTAAAGTAAATAGGATGAATTGCATCTCTATAAATAACAATTTAGAAGAGCTTCTAAATAAAACAAACAATAGATAAATTTCAACATATGAAAAAAATTAAAAAACAAATTTGAGCAGAAAAATAACCTTAATGAAGTTAATCTATACAATAATTTTTTTTAAAACTATTACAAATCTCTTATTAGTAATTTTTAATGTTATAAATTACTGTAATACTCTTTCTGTACTTATTTTTCTTTTAAATTTTACTTGAAACTGAAACTAGAAACATTAAAAAAAACAATCAATAGAAATACAGAAGTTCTAGGCTAGGTTTGTAAAACTAATTACAAAAAAAAAAAGAAATTCAATGTGTCACCTACATAACTTCATCTACTTAGAATTACTTCAAAAACTCTGGAACATAATTTACTAAATTCATAGGCCTTAAATTTTCAGATACAAACAAAGTCTAAAACATAACATTTTCATATATACTGACTTTGTTTGGAAGGGAGCTGTTTTATACAAATAAAATGCATTTTGATAATAGATACAATACAAAAAACAAACAAAAATGGTTTCAAAACCAACATTGTTTTATCACTTAACTTAAAATAAATAAATACAAATATTAAGTACTGAGTAAGATAAGTTTACATTAATATGACAGCAGAAACTAACCAAGTACCAACAGACTGTTTCAAGTAAAATTAAACTAGTATTTGCCAAACCAAATTTCTAAAAGAGACTCAACATAAATAATTTTGTTGCCTTGAATGTATGGATTCCACAACAAACTTTAATTGATAAACATGTTCTCTAAGACATGTTACATAATGTAGGAAACTAACACATGTGTCCCCTACTTATCTTTCCATGAATTAAAGTAAAGAACAAAATTAAACTATGACAAATACACCATCTTTGTATGAAGTTTAAAAATACAATTTTTTTTAAGAATAGCAAAATAACTATTTTATACTAAAAGCAATCAAGTCTCATTTGCAAAATTTCTTTATAAATAAGAATTTTAATGAAACAATTAAAATTATACATATTAGAACAAATCACTAATCAGTCAGATCCACTTACCTTGATTTTGATAAGCAACGGGGGCAGGTTGAGGTAAGACAACTGAGGTTAAAGGTTGCAAAACAGATTGTTGAGTTTGCTGCCATGTCGCAAATTCCACATGCGCCTAAATAAAAATAAAATACTTCATTATTTTAAACTAGAAATTTTGACTTAAGATTTAAATTCTTGAAAACGTTACTTTGTGTCTTACAGTTTTAATCATATTGTTTTTTTGTGTGTCTTTAAAGCGTCTACCATGAATATTTTTTTAAAATTGTAATACATGTTAGGTTTTGAAGCAATTTTGTTCCATTTTAAATTCATGTTGTTCAGCATCTTGAAATTATGATTGAAATCAACAGCCGTTTATAATTTTTTTCACACGTAGACATTTTTGTTTATATTATTTTAGATTTATTTATAACTGTAAATGGTTAAAGATGATTATTAAATCAAAGACCTCAGATTTTATAAACAAATATCACACTGTAGTTGTAGGCTATGAACTCGATGGCTTAATATTTATTTTTTTTATAATTTAAATGATAAAATCGATTACAGTTATTAAAAATAAAGAACAATTATTAAAAATTATTAAATTTAAAGAACAACAATTATTAAAACAATTATTAAAAAGACAGTTATTAAAAAGAACAATTATTAAAAATAAAAACAAACATATCGGTCAAATGATGTAATTCTCTTTTATTCACAATTCAAGAAGTATGTATGGGATCTCTCTGGTCCCATATCTCAAAAATAAACTCACCAACTTAATGCATAACAAAATTAAAAGTGAAAAAGAGAATTCTAAAAAAAATATCTAACAGCAACGGTCGCCATAGCAACGCACACACACTATGTACTCTTGATTACTGTTGTTGAAAAGTGAGGACGCCATGCAATCTAAACCAAGATCCATTTCGCCAATGGGTAATAAATAAATTTTATCTTTAAAACATATATTTAAAGTAAAATTATGACTTTTCAATTGAATTAGGATAATAACTTAACATTCTATTAAATTTCACATGTAAAATCTCTCTCCAGAATATTTTATTTAAATAAAACCATAGTTTATAATTACTTTTTTGTACAAAATGATCAAGAGGAAATTTATTTTTTAGGTCAAGAACCTCTACTGAAGAAGTTAGCACTCAAAAATAGTTGCTTTATTAGACCACAGGCTCAAAAATAGCATCGTTTCTGATATTAAAAGTAGCAAAGATAAAGTAAAAAAAATCTGAAGAAAATAGAGATAATAATACAAACTATTCTGTAAACATGTATGTGATTGCACAGAGAAGAAATTATATGAATTTTTTTTTAACAATTTAGTTGTTTTATTACTAATATTTTTGTTTCATGTTTTTTATCTATCTTTCTGCACAAAGAAGATAAATAAAAGACTCATTTTTATGTGTACATAAAAGAATACATATATTAAAAAAAAAAACTGCATATTCCTCTTTTTTTGCACTTGGCAATTTCATCATCACATAGAAAAAAAAAAGAAGATTTTAAAACCTGAAATAATTTAAAAAAGATTAATGGTAAAACCAAGTGCATTTACAACGTAATTGCACGAATCAGACAAGTCAAAAAGGGGTTAGTTAAATGTGTTTTTGAGATTCACATACTATAATTAATAATATTGTATAAAAAATATTGAGATTTAAAAAGAAAAAGAAGCATAAATAAAAAAAGACGCAAAAAAGTAATAACTGCCAAACAATTGATTAAAACAATGATAAAATTATGTCAAATAATGAAAAAACAAGTGCGCTATTTTAATTTCTCGTACCGTAAGAATATCAGGATTTTTAAAATATCACGAGTAAATTAACAACATTAACTAACAAAAAAAAATAATTTTTTTTTTAAAACAAAAAGCTTTATGGATTTAGAGCAAATTGATCGTGTCAAAAAGTATTTACTACTCATAAGCACAATTTGAATTTCTTAATTCTTAATAATATCGTATGAAAATATCAAATTTAAGACATCATGAGGATTTGAGTAGCAATAACTGTGAAAAAGTCAATCGGCAAAAAAAGTAACATCGTCGTATCAAAAAGTGACAAATAATAAACACAAATTAAATTTTGCGTCTCGTAACAATAATATAAATAAAATTATAGAACTTATAGACAAGGATTTACAATGACATCGAGCACATTGAAAAGTGATCAATGAATTGTGTGGTTTTTAAATTTCCATAACTAAGAATGGTATCAAACATTTATTCAATAGAATTGTAGGCAAATAAAATAGGAGGGAAACATATATAATACTGATTAAATAATTCTTCGGTAGTTAACAACAAAATTGCTAATCATTAAAATATAAGATTTAAAAAAAATGAGGAAAAATAAAAACATTTTTTCTAATGAACCAATTTTTTTTAAATGTTCACCATTCCGAAATTACTTTTCAGATTATGAATCTTATACATTAGCACTTATTTCGGTAGTTCATCCATTCTAGATAAAGTGATCATGGAATTTTTTTCAGCCTCATGTTTACGAAGTTTTTCTCAAATAGATCTGCATAAAAAATTGTTATCGTGCGTGAATGAGAACTTAAAAAAAAAAAAAAAAAAAAAGTATGTTGTNAGGAAATCCTGGTAAGGGCTTAAAAAACGTCTTGTTTCCAAGAATTAAGAAGATTTAAATTTTATATTAGCACAACTCATAGAAAATTTTGTCTGAATATAAATTATTGATTTGGGATCTCATGTTTCCAGCACAATGTTCATCAAATTTTCTAATTTAAATTAGCGATTGAAACCTAAATCAAAAAAGTAATTATGAAGAAAAAAAAGTATATTCAAAAGAGTTTATCTTATTTTAAATAAAGAATATAAGTACTTGAAACTTACTGTTTCAACTAAGTTGATAGCTAATGCTTTGGCTGCTTGCAATCCCTCAGGCTTTGGATGTCTAAAATAAAGTTTTTCAATATTTTATTCAAATTGGAAATGAATATTAGCACCATTAATTAAGTATGATTAAGGCATAGCTTAAAAGTAATTTAGAAATTTTTTTTAAAATATAAAAAAATGCCAGTAAGGTTAATAAAATATAAATAATTCATTTAAAATAAAACTTTAAAATGTATACAATGCAGAATCGATTATTTTATTTTCATTTTAAAGTAAACAATTGCTACAACAATATTTAATACAATAGTAAGTATACGAATTCAGTAACCCTGTGGCTTTCTGCGACAAAACTCTCTAGCACTAATATTTTTCTGCAAGATATTTTCAACAACAAATATGTATGTTACTAATTTAAGATAACAAATACACTGTGTTTACAAAATCAATGTAATTTTTTTACTCGAATATGCAGTATTTTTTAAAATTCTAATATTATGAGAAATATCTCGCATTTTGTTGGGGGGAGCACCAATTATTTCCTTTAGCGCATTTTACAAATCCTCATCACATAAACAAAAAAAAAAAAAAAAAAAAACATGAACATTCAGAAAGCTGTTACTCGAATGCGTGTTTCGTTTCCAGATTTGATTGTCGCAATAAATAATACTGTATTGAAAACATCGGGTTTGAAAGACTATGTGGAAATCAAAAGCAATAACTGACACACAAAAAAATCGATAGAATCATTGCCTTAAAAAGTAAACGATCAAATGCACAATTCAAATTTCCTACATAGACTTTAATGTATCGGGATATCTAAAACGCCACATAAAAATCTGTGTCAATAACTGCCAAAAATACAATCAAAATGGATTTACGATATAGGCATAAATTGAGCACTTCAAATTGTATGAGTAAATTTCTTCAGAAAAGCAATCCAAATTCTTTTTACCTCGCAAAATATTTCTGCAAGAATTCTAAAGTTTTGCGACAATGTCGCCACGTCATGGGGTGCAGTAAAAAGTAATGTTTTGTGGTGGAGTCAGTTATGTGAGTTTATTTTCATCAAATATAACACTATTAGATTAAATAAAGAAGGTAGCAGATAGTTACATTATTATTTCTTTGCTGTCTAATTTACAGGGTGGCCACTCAAATCCGATTTCAAATTTCCCTGATTTTTCCATGTTTTCCAGATAAAAATCATAAAATTTCCAGGTTTTTGTTTCTTTTTTCATATAAAGTATAGGATGTGTACAAGAAAAGTGTCGATATTATAAAATATTTTATTCAAAATGTTATTTTTTTAACATATCATCTTGAAAAAAATAATTTATTTTGACAATTTTCAAGATTTTTTTAAATTTATTTTTTAATGTTTTGGTACAAAATATCGAATCAAAAATCATATTGACCAACAAAAGAGTAAAATTAAATATAAATATATAGTTGGTTCTTAAAAAAACATTTTTTTAAAATTAAAATATGTTATAAAAGGTTAAAATGAAATAGAAAAAATTAGCATTAATGCAACAATTGTAACGATTTGTCGACAAACATTGCTGTTAGCGATTGTAAAAAAATGTGTGATTGGTTGGTTTGCTGAGAAAAATAATTCAGATTTCTTTGATTGGGAGTAGAAAAGCTTTCAGAAAAAGACTGCGATATAAAATCTATTATTAAATTATAACCAACTAATTTTTGGAGAATTTTATAAAGTTAAAAATACAAAAACATTTTGTCAAAATAGAAAAAAAAATT